CCCCTTCCCCCGGGGAGTCCTTCGGGGGGGACCTGGGGGACGAGGGACAACGCTCGGGGGGGACGTGGGGACAGGGGAAGCCTCCGGTGGGACCTGGGGGGGGACAGGGGAGACCCTCAAGGGGACAGGGACAACTTATGAGGGATGGGGACACCTCATGGGGACCTGGTGGGGACAGGGACAGCCCACAGAGGGACCAGGAGACCCCTCACGGGGACCTGGTGGGGACATGGACATCCCTCAGATGGACCTGGGGCAGGACAGACGGCTCACAGAGGGACCTGGGGGACCTCAGGAGGTCAGGGATGGCCCTCAGAGAAACCAGGAAACCCCTCATGGGGACCTGCTGGGGACAGGGCCAGCCCTCAGAAGGACGTGGAGTGGGCACAGAAGGACCAGTCGACTTCTCAGGAGGATCTGGAGGGACTGGGAAGGCCCTCAGAGAGAACTGGGAGCGGGCGGGGGGGTTACACACACCCATGGACAGCCCTCAGTGACACTTGGGGGACAGTGGGACACCCTGCAGGAGGACACTGCTCCCCTGGAGAGTCCCTCAGAGGGGACTTGGGGAGGGCCGTGGTGTCCTCCAAGGGGTTGGGGGCCCCTCTGCCCCCGTTCAGCATCTCCAGCCCGCCCTGCGCCACAGGACCGCGGCTTGGGGGAGCGCCCGTCCCGGTGGCCCGCTGAGCTCTGTCCCCGCAGACGTTGCCTACCTGCGCTCCGTCCTGCCCGGCACCACGGAAGACGCCTTCTTCGATTCCCTGGCCACCTTGGACGCCTCGGAGGTGACCGTCACCGCCGTGCCGGAGGGCTCCGTCGTCTTTGGCAGGGTGGGATACGCTTGGTACCCTCCTCTTCTTCACAGGGGGTTTGGGGGGGCCATCAGCATCCGTGTCCCCAGGGAGGATGGAGACGTCACCACCCGGTTGTCCTGCAGGTCCCGTTCCTCCAGGTGAAGGGACCGCTGCTGGTGGTGCAGCTGCTGGAGACCATGTTGCTGTGCCTGGTTAATTATGCCAGGTAAGGGACACATCCTGCTCTTGGTTCCTCAGCTGTCACCGCTGTCCCAAACCCTCCGACCCGCTGCGGTCCCTGCCGTCTCCCCACGCATTGGCAGAGAAGGTCCCACCTCGGCTGGGCGCTGGCTCTGTGCTCAGCCTGGCTTGGTGGGACCGGTTCCTTTCCTCTCTCCCAGTTTGGTGGCCACGAACGCCGCTCGCTTCCGACTCCTTGCTGGCCCGGACGTGAAGCTGATGGAGATGGGGCTCCGGCGCGCTCAGGGGCCGGACGGTGCCCTTTCGGCCTCCAAGTACTCCTACATCGGGGGTGAGTGCTGCCCCACGGCACCCCACGGCCTTGTGGCCACGCCGTCACCCGTGTGTCCTCCATCCCTCCTCGCAGGCTTCGACTTCACCAGCAACATCCTGGCGGGGAAGCTCTACGGCATCCCGGTGCGCGGCACCATCGCCCATTCCTTCATCGTGTCCTTCACCTCGCTGGAGGAGGTGAAGCCCCGGGTGAGCGTCGCCATGGGCAGGGGATGGGGTGCTCTGCCCGCGGCCGTGGGAGATGCCAATGTCCATGTCACCCCGGGCAGGAGCTGCTGCCGCTGGCTGGGGGGGAAACAGGGGATCCTTCA